TCCTGCTTGCTCATTCTCCAGGGCTTCAGTAGCTTGGCAGTTTTCCAGAAAGTGATACCATCAAGCTAAATGTTACATTTTCATATCAAAATCTTCCAACCCAGTATTCCATCCCTAATATCAGCCTCTGCTTTAAAGGGACAGTTTTATTTGAAGGGGAGCTGAGCAAAAGCCCTTTGTGATTCCGTGCCTGCTGGCACATCCCCAGTCTCCCTGCTGCTGAACTCCGACTTCGGTTGAGATGGCACTTCCCATTTTGGTGGTGTTTGATGGCAGTTACTGCTTGTAACAGACCAAGAAAATAACCTGGTAACCTTATCCTCTTTTAGAACAAATGGATGGCCAAAAAGTGTTTACCTTTGAGGTTTTCTCTATCCAAACATTCTTCTGTCTGAACTTCTTGAGATTCCTCAAGAAACACCCCAAAGCACCAAAAGGAAGGACTTGCTCCATAACCAAAACCAGCTACTCTCAGGATTAAGAAAGAAGGGGAAAGCCATACGGAGACAGTTAACCCCATGATACATCATTGGAAGTTTTGATGCCCAAATGAGACTTCTGAGAAAACACATCCTTTGACTATTCGCATTGCAAAGAGATTTCTTTCTGTCCATCATACACTTCACTGGAAAAAAAAAAAAAAAAAAAGCTATTTGTCACCTTAATTGCTTGCTTCTAAATACTGGACTTCTAGTGAGATAAAGCCATGTACCCATGAATTTTCTGACAGCAACCAGCACTGATTATACTGCTCTGCATGCAGACAAAATGCTAATTAGGGCTTTTGCAAATGAAAAGCACCATGTTCTCAACACAGTCTTCATTTTCACTTGTCTTCCATAGGAAACCAACAAAGAAAATTAAGCTTCATCTCACGCTTATGCCACTATAAAACTAGTTCTTTCAGAAAGGCGTTTACTGCTAGCCTTGACTTAGAATTCCCAGGCCTAATAGGGCAGTAATTTCTGGCTGAGCTGCAGCTTCGGCATGGTACCATAAGTGAGCAGCATGCTGGAAATGTTTGTAGTCATTTAGAGTTTAGCTAAGGAGAGGCAGCTCTGGCAGCAATGTACTGAAGACTCTGACAACTCTTTCAAAACGAGCCATTAAAATAAAAAAGACAAGATAAAACATACAGTGTAAAAGTCCCAGTTTTAGGGATGGCTGCCTTGGCAACCTGGGAGGCTGAAGTAAAGCTGTCCTCTGATGAGGAAGCATGTTGTATAAAATAAACCCACCAGAAAGTCAGTGCAGGAAAATCAACTTGTCTAGCTATACATAATCTTTAATTCTTGATAAAATACATACATTCAACTGTTATACATCTTTACTTACTTACACCCTTTATCATGATATGACAGGAAGAATCCTGAAAATATTTTACTTGTGTGGAAGTCTACTTGTGTTTCTGTCTACTTACAGAGTACAGAAACAGGAAGCCTGCAGCAAGAGAGCTGTTTTCCGTAAGTCCTTCCTGCCTCCAGGATGAGGTACTTCTGTAGCCACAGACAAGAACTTCAAGCTAATGATTCATAGGTTGTGGAGCTCAAGCATGTCATGAGAATAAGATCATGCAGTTCCCATACTAATTCCATGACATTCATTGTGCACACCACATTAAGGAGCAAGGATTGTACAAAGTATAGATAACATCAGATTTTGTGCAAACGAATAGGACCTGAAGTAGCTTCTTGAAGGCCTCAGTTTATAGAACACAGTGGCATGTACAGCCCTGTGTGCTGCAGCCCTTTCTTGATAGTGGAAAACAAATACTGTTCATGTGCAAGTGAATGGGAAGGTTTCCTAGGTTGCTCCTAAAAAAAATATAAATAAGGGATGTTTCCATGTTAGAGGCTCTGCAAAATCAGACCTCTCTCAGGACTTTTGATGCATATCTGGGTGCCACATTAGCAAGGATCCCTTCCTGACTGGGGAAAACTGAAGGAGAAACATGAGCAGAGCTCTTAGGCTCTGCTGCACCACTGTAACACCCAGATGCAATGGGGATGCGTAAAGAACCAGGGAAGAAACAAATATTCTCCCTGCCTTCTCTTTACTCAATAGGAAGCTCAGCTGCCTACACGTGCTCTGACAAGTTACTTTGCTTCAAAGAGATCTTCGATTTATTCAGCTTCCCCACAAATTATTATTAATTGCTACTTGACATTATTCTTCATTCTTGGTTACTAAACCTTTTGAAATTGCAAAGTTTCATGAGGATAGTAAGATATCTGCTGTTCTGTTTCTGAATGTCTGTTCTCTGAACAGATCAACGCTAGTTGATCATTCTGTTACAGAAGATGAGAAACAGGCCACAAAAATGTGAACATCTAAAGTAGGTGTGATAATACTACAGAAGATTCTCATTGGTTGAGGAATCAAAATCTTTTCGGACACCAGCTGAAAGCTGAGAGAGGACCATTCAAAATATCCTGAAGGTATACTGTGTGCAGTCTGAAAATGTTTGTGCAAAACATAGTATGCATATATAGCATGTCATTTTGTACAGGTTTTTCTCTTCTCAATGGACATAAGCCCTTTTCCACATTAGCCTTTATTCTTTACAACACTGGACTCCTTTCTCATCTCCCAGCTGTATAACTTCCCAGCTGACAGGCAGACTACAAGTGCAGTCTACATCCAGGGGAAATAAATGATCTGTTGGGTGGGGAATCTATGCACAACTGAAATGAAACAAAATAAGATATCCAGGTCACAATGTTCCAGAGAAGCCCAGATCTAGAAGAATGGCTGTAATTGGGCAAAACTTACCTTGCTGATGAAGACTGGAACTTGATGAGCATGATGCAAGAAAAGTAGCCTAGAAAATATTTTGCTTGACGCTACATGGATTCATATTAATTGGTACCTTCTGTTTCATGGGTCATTCAAAGGAAAATTATTAAGAATTATTTCCTTTAATATTGCCTAATCACAGCTTCAGAACAGGCTTATTCTTACTTGACCTACTGAACTCAGATTTTACACACTGTTTCTTCATTTATTTTTCCCTGGGAAAAAAAATCACTGTTTCTGTTGATGACATCTGGAAGGTTCTTTAACGTCTCCTCTATGACTGCTTTTTTGAAAGTTTCTAAGTGTCATAACATTTTTCATTCATAGTTAAAAAGCAGCATTTTCACTCCCTCATTTGGTAACTACAAGATATTTCTTTCCCGTTCTCAAAATTTAAAAGGACTTTTCACATGCAAATACGTCTACTGCCAAATTAATTTTTATAAAGACAGTTCTGTAAAATAACATGTATTCTCAAAATCATTTATTTGCATTAGTATAAGAACACAGAAGTTTTATGGAAGCGCATGGGATAAAGAGGGAAGTCTTGAAACCCTACTAACTTGCAGCTTTTTTTTTCTTTTTTTAGAAGGTAGAATATAAGCTAGAATAATAAACTTTTGTTTGAAATATAAAGAAGTGCAATCAAGGATTCCATACCAGTTTGCATCACTCTGCTGCAGGCTTAAGAAAAGAATGCAGCCCACTGAATGCATACTAATGAGACCAATGCCATCAAAATTAGCAACGTGAGTGAAACTTTATGATTTTTGGAGCTGCGCAGCAAGGGCAGAGGCCACATTGGTGGATGCTAAGTACTGCAGTTTCATTTTCAGGAAAATAAGAGAAAAAAAGAAAATATTCACAGGTTTGTACAGTGCTTAGCAACTTAAAACCATTAAATCACTGCATTTTCTAGGTAAACATGTATTTGCACTCAAACTAAAGCTATACACTTTCCCACCGAGTTTAACCGCTTCTCCTCAATTCTTCCTCATCTCCCTCACTGACATCCTCCCACAGAAAAAAAAAAATCATTATAAAGAAATGCATTGTAACAAAACCTGCTATTCTCACATTGGTTTGCCTAGCCTAGAATACAGATGGCAGCAATGCTTTTCTCTGGGCTAAGGTTCCCAGAGCCAGGTAGGTCAAACCAGCTACAAGGTTCTTGCTCAAGTAAGATTTCAGAAAGGCTGAGGGGAGTGGAAAGCTGACTGCTTCCTGCATTGTCCTGCCACACAAAGAAACAGTGTGCTGTCAAACCGAGTGCTGGCAGCAGCACTGCAGTCAAATCTGTATGTTGTCCACTGTGACTATGCTGAGCTGAAGACAAAAGTAATATTACTCACAGGAGCTTGTGGGCATTTTTTAGGAAATGGCAGCAAGGCATGTGCTTCACTTCCAGAATATCATAACTGGGAGATGAATTAGAGAGAGAAGGCCCACATATTTGCACAAGGGTAAACAAAGCAGTTCCCAGTAACGCTGTGTCCAAGCAAACTTAAAACTACACAATGTGGAAAAGTTTGCATCCTCAAAAGCTAACACCTTGGAAAGGAAAACATCCATTCAACAATTGTCAGTTTGGGAGAAAAGGACTTTGCCCCTAAATAATCAGAGGAAGCTCACAACTGATGCGCGCTTTAATGTGCAGCTATGACAGTAAAACATTCAAAGTGCCTATCTGATATGCAGTGTTAAGAATACTAGCATTTTTTTCTTAACTGAGTGATCAAATCAAATTTCAGTCACTGCGATGGACTCATGTGCCTCTAATTTCTTTACTCTTACGTGTGATTGTATGAAAACATTGAGCAATTTAAAAACAATTAACATTAAACAAAATGAGTACTGTTATTGAACTACCAGGGATGGTCAGATCTTTTTAGCACAACTTAGGTTTATAAAACTCTGAGAGAGATGGTTTTGCCATGTGCATGCACAAGCATGCCCTCCCTGTCCTTCAAGGTCCTCTGAGAGCAAAACCACGGTGTTTAAACCAGAACTGAATTTAGGTTGGAAACTCTGAAAGAAAGAGTTATCCTTACTTAAACACAGAAAAACCTGAATGCTTGGTCAATATGCCATTCACTAGGCATTGATTACACATTGTAAGACAAAGTTATGTGATGTAAAGCTACAGATTGGAGTTCACTGCTATTATTCCAAACCTAACATTAACAGTTGCATGGCTACAGTACCTGAGTGGATCGGTGGAGATGCTGCTTCCTGTTTCCAGTGAGGTCCTGAGATGATAGCAAAAGAATAAAGTTATAAAATATTAAAGCAATTTTAAAAATTGTCTATAAATTCAGACAGTAACTTTATCTTCATTTTTACAGACATTATACAGTACCTAGCATGACATTAAATATAGTTGCAAAAAAACAAGAACCAAACAAACATATAAAAAACCCAGCAGCTATTTCCTATTCATTAGTGAAAGGGGAATTAAAAAAGCATCTTTAGACAAAGAGTGATCAAATGTGACTGACAACACTTGGCTACTTGAATACCTGACCAAGTTGTACTGCATGCACTATTATAGTAAACGTTTCCAGAACCTCTCTTCTGTAATTTTGCACTGTGTGCACTGCCAAATCTCAGCTCAATTCACATGTGACAGTACAGCAGAGCCTTGCAATAAACCAACATAAGCAAGTAGTACAGCCTTCCTTACAAAATGTCAAAAGTCTTTACACTGTTGAAATCTTCAGGCCATGCAAACATCTTTGGAGCTGTGAGCTCATTCCCCAGCAGACACACCTGCATGTTGTTTGCTGGAACTGGCCCAGAGCACACGCTGCCCTTCAGCACACTGTGAAGCTGATTCTGAATTTAGGTATGTAATTTCAAGATCCAAAAAGCATCCTCACCCCATGGCCTACTGGCTAAGAGGAACCTTGGAATAGGACAGCACACAACCAAATCACAGTCACAGAACAGCACTGCAGCTCACAGTATGTGCTCACGGCTGCACTGCTTTCATCCTCAGTACATCAGCTAAGCAAAAATAACAGCAGCACACAACAGGAGCTGGGTGAAGCTCTCCTGTGAGACTCTTATTTGATTTTGTTCTCTGGTGGCTTCTCTCACACCAGGCAACAGATTTCTTGCATACATTTACTAACAGAACGCTCAGCCTTCAAATCCTTGGGCTTCTTCTCTCTCCAGAAAGGCAACTACAGTTGCTGCAACAATTCCCAAAGAATTATTGCGGCAGGAAGATTTTAAGATACAAAGTACAGAAGTGACTGCAACTACACTGCTGTTTAAATAGCAAGATTTTAACATGAAGCGTGGCATTACTAATTACACTTGCTCTCACTGTGCATCACTTTAGGTTTATTATAAACATCCATATTAAATTAAATTTTTAGAGTAAAAAGAAAACATTTCCACAGGCTATAAGGAGATGTTAGCCAAAGGCTCACAATGAACTTTCCACCATCATATTGGGTACCATTTTAAATAGTCATTTATACTTATCCATTTCCATCCCTTACCCAAGCTGCCATTGGTCAACTTCTCCTCTGACAGTCATGAATGTGTATGGTTACGGATGCTCACACAATTAGCATTGGAATTGCCTTCATTATATTTACCGAGGTTATTTGTGAATCAATTGCAAACCTTCACTTTTAATACCATGATTATGAGTATGGTTACACAGCAAGAGGGCTGTGTGAGAGGAGGTGGCCATGGGCACAGCCTGCACAAGAATCAGCTGCACAGGAATGGAAACAAACTACGCTGCCCAAATAACTGCAGGGCAGGCAGAGATTTAAAACAGATGAGGAGCTTTTCCCACCCTGTAATTTGTTTGCTCTTGGAGTTGAGGATCTGTGAAGAGTGATGCACTTTGATGGGTTGTTTTACATGTGCTGGCTATTCGTTCATTTAACAATTGGAAAGGGTGAACCTAATTTCTTTATAATTAAGTTTACTCTTAACAATCTGCTGTCCAAGTGCCAACCTGCTCACTGGATGGACTTTTTGTCTCACTGTTAGCAGAGATTCAGAAACATTCTCTGAACAGTTCTAGCCTGTATTGCTATAAATAAATCCTGACGAGACTCTGTGCGTGGTGACAATGCACCATGCATAACGAAGAGATGGTAATGACACAAGGCCCCACTGATTAGCCTCCACCCATGCAGCTTTGATTGTGCCAAGCGACACCAAGCACGTCGTGACCTCGGGGACTCCTCGCACAATCACAAGGAGCAGGATTACAGCTTCATTAGGAATACCTTGTTCTCCATCTGGAGAAGGCCCCCTGCGGTAAGGCTCCCCAACAAATGCATGCTTTGGTGTCAGGAGACACAGATCTTTCTGAACACATGGGAAGAGAGCTCAGTTTCCACAGCAAAAATGCCCATCTTGAGGCCACTCCCAAACACGGCTAAAAGGATCTGAATTTGTTGAGAGTTTTCCAGAAATTTTCCTGGTGCTGCCGACAGTGTTGTGCTGTGCTGTAACAGTGTTTATGCACCTGGTAACTGCAGTTAAGAACACATAATGCCACAGATCTAATTGATTTGGCAGCTGGCAGCCATGATAGCTGCTGACACACTTGGGTCCAACCCAGACTTGGGTCTGGTGGGTGCTGGGCAGTGCCATGCCATGCAGGGTTCTGGGCAGGCTGCTGCAGGGCATGCGGGCAGAGCAGTGCCCAGCCTGGGAAGGTCTCTGTGCTAGAGGACTCCCATCCACGTACAATTCGCAGATTATAAGCAGCCCAATGGGGAAAGGCTTACGACTGGCTTTCTGAGCTGAAGGTCAGATATAAACATAACATCAAACACAGGATAGGTTACTTAAATGGGATGGAAGTCACTGGATGGGAACAACCAAATAAATCACTGCTGCAGAGCAAGAAAGAAACCAAGAGTTACACTGAGGTGAGCCGTACACCCAGGCAAAGCTGCAGCAGAACCCTTAACCTGGTCACCTGCACCAACAGTCCAGCTCACCTCTGTGAGATGTCTCAGGAGCAGCTGATGGCATGTGGGGCAAAGCTTTGTGGCCAAGAAAAAATGACAGCAGAGATGGGAAAAATTAGGCGTAAAATCTATTGAGACATTTGAATTTTGGGGTACAAAAAACCAGTTAATTTCCAACAGATTTACAGAATACCTTTAATGCAATCACACAACCAGTTTCTTATACCTAAGATCATATTTTAGCCTTTGGTTCTTTCTGAATACTATACAAAAATGAAAAAGCAACCTGAAACCTGAACGCGGTACCACTATGCTACAGCAAACAGAATGGCTCATTTACACAAAGCAATTTCAGGATTGCCTACTTAGGAATATCTAAAATATATATATACATATATATTTTGTTTCAATTTTTTTTAAAGGAAAAAAAGCTAGATATGAGCTATAAAGGAAAAAACAGGCAAACTTAACAACCCTATTTGTTCATCCATAATGAACTGAACTCCAAAATTTAGTACATTTGTCCTCCAGAAAAAAAAAACAAACAACCACCACACTCTAAAACAAATTAAAATCATACTATACTTGTCTGTATTTGCCCAAGGAAGTGGCTGAAAAAATTGAACTAAGAGACTTAGACTCCCACCAAAAAGAAGAAAACCTACTGCAGAGCAGTCCAGCACTATCAGAGAAATGCTGTAAGCAACCCTGTAAGCAGTTTTGTGTTTGTTTCCATGGAGTTTAAAAAGGTCTTCTGGGTAGGGAGCACAGGAAATCTGATTCAGCGCCACTGATGAGTCAGTTGAATGACATCTTCATACAAGTACTTAACATTTCAGAGAAAAGGCAGAGGAATCTTTGCATGAACTGGAACTAAAGCTAGCACAGAAGGCTACAATTCAGATGGATTATTTGGAGCTAACATGGTCAGCATGAAACTTGAAGAATGGGCGTAATCGCTGGTAGGAACAACCTCTTTCAAGGCTGAAAGTTATACGAAATATGGGTATGTATGGTTCCTGATCTGAAGCTGCAAGCTCTAAGCAAATACAACAATCATAAAATAACCGCTTCCGCAGAGTATTATGAGGGACAAAACAAATATTTCCAAGGAATCATCGGTCAAAAACTCAGAAAATTGCTGTCTTACCCAATAGAATTTACATTTCTAAAGACAGAAATATTACATACAATACTGAGAATTCTGCCCTGAAACAAAAAACAAGGCTACAGGCTATTACACCTGCTATTAGCACTGTATATATGTATCGACTGTTAAAGTTGTGTAGCAATCTAACCTGAATATGAAAGATGCCTAGCATCTATTTTAAAGATCATGTTCTAAAATGCTTTATCAAGTTTAGCTCAAGCACACAATTATTTTCCCGATACCTTGAGCTATGGCAAATTCCAGGTTTTGTGTAAGTGTGTGTGTGGAGGGAGGTTCTTTTCCTCTTCATTTTCTTTCTTTTTGTTCTTGTGATGAAAGAGACTGTTGATTTCTGATAGGTACAGAATCACACTTAGTGAAGATTATGTAACTGCATAGCATGGATTTCCTGACGCCACATAGACATAGAGAAAAGTAGAAAATGAATGCCTTGAAGAATCAATAATCTGAAATCTTGCTTTCTTCAGCTCTGATAATAAACAAGGAGAGTTATTGATCTAAGAGACAGCATTAGAATGACTTTAAACTATTCTGTGTCTCAGCATGGAACAGTGACAATGTAAATCATTATGATATTTCTAAGAAAGATGTCAATGTGAACGCAGCAAGCACCAATGTAATAGAACTACAAAGTAACTGCTCTTGCTGAGACTAGAAAAGTAAAATATAGGAACTGCAGTAGTCCAGTACCGTATCTGTGCTATAAGGCTTCTGCAGAATATTTGTTAAATGATCTTGACTAAGCACAAAGTTATACAGAAGCTCTTTCCAAGCTGAGCAGATCAGATTGTGTCAGTCTCTGTGCTGTGACAGCTCAGTATGGCTGCCTCCCTCCCGGAGGTCCCATAGACAGTCTCCAGCCCTTCAGGTTCAATTCTAAGCTCAGGCAGGCACAATCCATTTCCATCACTGGAGGTGGCTGCAACTGCTTCAGTCTCAATTAACCAGAGAATAAATGAGATCGTGCTACTGCCTATCTTAACGGTGTCAGAGACTACAAGTAACTGCATATAGTGATCAAGCATAGTGTAAAGAGTCAGAAAAATTTCCAATTTGAGAAAAGCAAAGATGTTCCAGCATGAAAGTATACAGTAATGACAGATTAAATAGCTGTAGTTGAAAAATCCAC